AAAACAATCCTGGAAGGGATCCTCTTCACTATGGACTCCGCCTATGTTAGGGGTCTGTAGAACCCGGGCGTCCTTATAGCCTCCTCAGAAAAGGCCGTAGAAAAGGAGAGTGACCTACTGTCACAACCCCGAGCAAATCGCTCGGAGCGCCCTGTTCAGCCCTAGGGGTCTCAGAACCGGCCCCCTCCGGTATATTCGTTGATGGCCGAGGGATAACCTCAACCTTAGGCGATTCGGGGGCTTTGATCGAATCTTTCTTCGAGGCCTCCTCATCACGAGGGCGGGTCTCGACAATCGCCTCCGACTTGGAAGGCTCGGCGATCTCGACCGGCTTCCTTTCTCAAACCATCATCGCCGAGTCATCGCCCTCATCTTCCTCTTCTTCTTCCCCCAGTTGGTGAACCGACTCTACAGTTACAGGGATGAGATTTCTCCTGCGTCTTTGAACTGGAGCCCTTTTAGGTTGGGGGTCCTCGGACTCCGAGACCCTCTTCCTCTTGTTATCTTTCCCCGACTTCGGAATCGGGGACTCGGCCTCTTCCTCAGGCGAGACTGACCTCATTTCAGCAACATCTCCAAGGCCTGCATAAAAGAGAGTCTAGTATAAATAAAGAGAAACGTTACAGAAAAAAGGTATCGAAAGCTTACAAGATAAACTTACCATGATTCTTGGCTTCCCATCTGCCCTTTGCCAAGTCACACCAGCAGCGCTCAGCATGGGAGGAAGTCGAGGCCAACTTCCGAACCTAGTCTTCGAGGTCGGGGACCGCGTGAGGTATCCAAGCAACCGCTACACAATAGATGAAGGCATTACATAAAAGAAAAAACGGAGTACGAAGACTAATGGGTAATACGTTACTTACGATCGAGGTTCCACTTCTCGGGGAACGGCAGTTTCTCCTCTAGGATAAGGTTGCAGGTCCTTACCCCTACGAACCGGCTCATCCAACCCCGATCCTTGTCCTCATCATTTCTCGCAAAAAAGGCCTTTGTCGCTCGGCGTTGGAGCTTAATCAATCCTCGAAAAAGCCAAGGTCGATATAACCGTATGAGGTGGTTGAGAGTGAACTCCAGCCCCTCGGTCTTGCTGGAAAAGAAGCGGAGCATGATGTTACAACCCATATTCTCATACGTTAGTTCATGCCATAAGGTCGTCGACGTAAATCCATGAAGAGATTATCTTTGAGATGATAAGAGATTAATCCTATTGGTCTTAAATGATACAAAGGTGTATAAGGGTGGTTAACAAGTATTAGAAGTTAAACGAATCAAGGATGTTGTCAGCCGTATTTTTGGGTAAACCTAGGGGTGCTTAATACTCTCAAGAGGTCGTATTTTAAGGTATATGAATCATAAAATATCCGTATCATAGTCTTGAAGTCAAACGAGTTATGAAACAAAAGTCGACAAGAGTTGTTGCAACTTAAGTTCATAGTTTTACTTAAACTTTAGGTCAAATGTTCTTAAGCTTTTCTCCCAATATACTTGGAATTACGGGGTGATCTACCCACCAAATTGAAGATCTATGAGTCTAGTTTCCAACGCATTAAACCTTTTATCAATACGACATTGGAGTAGAGAGATATAGACATTTTTGCGAGACTGCACAAGATGCTAGGTGACAAGTAGGTGGGTCACCTACATGGTTAAATGATAGCCCAAAAAGAGGCAATTTCGGGTCAGACAAAGAGCCCATTAAAAGGCTTATATTCTGCAATATATCCCTCATTATATTTCACAAATAACCAGACCTAAACCCCTGCAAACTTCCTCCCAAAAATTATCCACAAACCCTAATTGATTTTCCCTCTCTTTCAAGTTCAAATTGGGGGTAAACCCTAGAGTTTGAAGAACCAAGATAAGGGCTGAGTTATCCAACAAGTAAGGTGAGTTTACTGCTATCTTTCATACATTTATTCTGCTGTGAATTCATGGTAATTCGTTCTATACATGTAAGAACTCACGGGACGGTGATCGGAAGCCGTGAGTTCGAGTTATTCACTTGTAGCGGACTGTTTTGTGGACTGTTTTGTGTTGCTGTTGGGCTGCGTGTTTTACTACTGTTTTGTGAAGTTTTGGAGGAGGAAGGGTGTGGAGAAACACCATATAGATGTAGGGTTGTGGGCTGGTAGTTCTTCATAACATTTCCGGGTCGTTTGACACGACTATGGTGGCCGTCGTATGTATGAAGTGATTAGGTTGTGCGTGGACTGTTTTGGGAGGCTCAATATGATTATTATTGATGTTGTTTAGGCTGTTTGGTGATTGTTTGGAATTGTGTGAAGTCATATATATAGGGGAGGTGCTGTCCGTTTCATCGTAAAATAGGTTGTGGTCGATACATAATAGTTATGACGCTTGAATGATAACTATAGTATCGTTTCTCTTATTGTAGACTAAGGAGTCGTGAAAATTGCATAGCTTGAGATTGGGGAAGTATATACAAGGTATGTGAGGCTATCCCTTTCCTTCTTTTGCACGACTCCGATTGTACATAATGTAGTGAACGAGCTTCCAAAGATACTCTACTCTTAGAAGCTAGCAGTACTTACATTGTTTCCCCTCTTATGGAACGATTGATGTTGATGTTGCTTCTCTTATTCTTATGTTATCAATGTTATTGGTACTTCCTGATTCTTATAAGGTTCATGGTGAAGAGTTAGTCCTAATAACGTGTATAGAGGATACCGACCTTACGTCACTCCGAAAGGTTTAGAACGTGAGTCATGAGTCGAGCATGCATTATATATATGTATCTATTTTACTCTACCGAGCCGCGCTATAGTCGGCCGGGTATGGCACCTATTGTGCAACCACTGATCAGTTGGGTTTTACCGAGCTCCATGTGGCCGGGTATGTTTTTACCGAGCCTATTACGGCCGGGTACGATATGATGATGATGATGCCCACAGAGGCGTATGTTTTAAAAGTTTATGTATATATACATATGTATCACGCATTTCATGTCAGTAGCCCTTAGAGGTACCCAAATGTTATAGGTTGTTTATTCTCTATCCCTGCTTACATTACTGTTTGTACTTATGGTTCCCTGCCTTACATACTCAGTACTTTATTCGTACTGACGTCCTTTTATTTGTGGACGCTGCATGTCGTGCTGCAGGTCCTGATAGACAGGCAGGCGCAGCTCCCCCACCATAGTAGGCTGTCCAGTTCAGCGGTGATTGGCGAGATCCCTTCTTCGGACTTGCCTTGGTCTTGGTATGCATTTTTGTTATAGATATTATGGGTATGTCGGGGCCCTGTTCCGGCTATGTTGCAACACTTATGTTCCTTTAGAGGCTCATAGACAGGTGTCGACTCATGTATAGTTTGGTAGGCCTTGTCAGCTGGTTTTTGTTGTATAGTCTCTCATGGTAGTGTGGTAGCTCGTACCTTATATATAGTTTCTTGATTGTCTAGTCATCCCATGTTATGTATGTTCATGCCATCATATTTTATTGTTGGTTGTCCATGACCCATGTCTACCATTTATATTGATCTCGTCAGCCCTAAAAGATAATAAAGAAGGTTAGATAAAATGTATGTTGGTACTCGGTAAGTATGGCCCGGTGCTAGTCATGGCCCTCTAGTTTGGGTCGTGACACATGATCACTATACGCTAGAATGAAGGGTGAACCTAGCCGAGGGTGACCTGATACCTCTTGCAAAAGTCGATAATCACTGGGTCGATAGGACCTAGTGTGAAGGGGTAAGTGTAGACACTTAGGAACCCCTCCATATAGGTAGTAATGCTCTCTTCAGGAGTGGGGATTAGTACCACGACCTCGGCCCCCCAGTTACAGTCTCTCTTCACAGCCTCGATATGGCTCACCATTATCGAGCAAATGTATCTCGACACGTGTTCACATCGGCCAGGGATCGTTGGAGGGTTCTCGACTTTGAAGTCGAATTTTAAGACACAAGGGCCGAGAACATATTGGTTCCACCGGCGTTTTATCATCGGCCGGTCGGGAAGAAGAGGAAGAAGCTTTCTCCTTTTGTGGGACGTTCTTGGAGGTTTTTGCCATTGATTCAGGTAGAAGGAAGTAGAAAGAGGTGAAATATGGTATTTTTGGTACTAACAAAATTGACTCAACGGGTGGTGAAAGAGAAGAGATGGAGAAAGGAAGAGACTTAGAAAACTTGGTGAAGGTGGAGGTAAAGTTTTGATTCAACCAAAGAACCTGTATTTATTAGATTCACGGCGATGGTTCGGTGGCGCTAGTGGCCGACCACCTACTGACAGGCATTAATGATTTGGGGAACTGTAGCGACGGGACGTTTCGGTCACGTCTGTCGTTTACGTCATAAGGAAGACATCATGATCGAGGTCTCCAGGAATCGAGGCTCAAGTCGTTTTTATCATTCTATTCTAAGAAACGCGGGGACTATCTGTATACGGTGGAAATCGGGGCTACCTGATTTCATTCTTTGATTGAAAAAGAGATACCACGTCGAAAGGCCAAGACGTCGAGTCTGGGATCGAAGTTGCTTTCCAAGATTAAGGTCGACGTCACTAATCGAGGTCAGGAAAGGGCATACTTCGAAATGATGCCGGTATAGTTCAGTACCGGAAGGAGCGAGATATTCGTGACGGATCGAAGATCATGGCGTGAATTTCGGAATGGATTGATCTTCGACGGTTGATCAGTTGTCAATATGATTTTTACTATAATTAGAAGTGTACCGTGTTTAGAACTCCTCTATTATATAAGGAGGAATCCCAATCATTTGTAAGCATCATTATTGACTAATAAGAATACACACATCCACTGCTCTTTTATCTTGCTTATCGTTCGTTACTGTTCATCATTGTTGTTTCATTTCTTTACTGTTATTATTATTTCTCTATCTCGAGACCGTCTTGAATCGAGGTCGAGACTCCACTCACATACTGGTTTGATCTATCTTATATCATAATTTATCTATTTATTTCCTTGTTTATCAATTGATAGTGAATTGAATCACGTATCCTTAAAACCACAATATAAGTTACATCCTCAAAAGTGAAATTATCCCTAATGAAAAGAAAATGGTTTCTGTGGTTGGTACGGGTAGACCCGATTGTATGCGTGACTCGTCAATCATTTGGGCCAACCCGATTCGTTTAATTACTGGGAGCCGCAATCAAATATACAATCGTCTTCATTTTCATTCTGAAAAACTTCTCTCTTATCGAACACGGGAAACCAGCGAGTATACATACAGAGTTGTGACCGGAGATTCGCCGGAACTAAATGGAAGTGACAGCTGAGAAGAGAGAATTGGAATTTGCAGCCCATAAAGAATCCGAGGATCGCGAACGCGTCGCCGTTGACCTCAAAGCCGGCTTGCATCCTCTCAAGGTTTCATTTTTCTCACTTTTTATTTTTACTTTTGTGCTATATCCGCTAAATATCTTGTATTTTATTTATTTTTAGGTTCATTAAGTTTAAATCTACACGTTTTTTTCATAAGTTCTAGGTTTATCAAGTTTAAATTTGTATGCTTTAATTCATACTCATTTTGTTAGGTTGTTTGAGGCAATTTGTAGCTATTTCTCAAAAAAATATTTTCTATTTTTTTAATTTAATTTTTTAGGTTCATCAAGGTAAAAATCTTATGCTTTTGTTCATACTGGTTGTACTGTTAGGTTTTGATTCAATGTCGCTGAACTCTATAATGTGTCATATTGAATAAATTTATTTAGAGACTTCTTGAACTAGAGAGAACTAAATACACAACATAATAACTACTAGTAAGCCAGTTCCTGTTAGAGAAATGAAATACAACATATGGTATAAACATTTGAATATGCCAGAGTCGTGCACAAATAAGTATATGAGCTTGAGTGACAAGGATTGGACATAGCGTGTCTGAGAGAATCTGCATCGAATATCACCTATATACATAATATACTCCAAAATTTTGGTAAATATTATAGTTTCAGGAATTGGAAATGGGACATGAGTACGAGGTAACAAACTTGAGGCATCAAGTGCCATACAAATGATGCTTACTTCCTGAAAGTCCATAGCATAATCTTGTAGGATCCAGTGATTCAAGATTCTTGCATTTCTTTCCCATTTGACTTATACCTACTTCTATTTTTTTGACAATCAACATCCACATCGGTGTTCAAATTTTTGTGACGCTCCTCCAAATTTCTGCACTTCATTTTCAGAAATGGCAAAGACAATATGCTCATCGTTCCAAGTGCCAGTCAGGGCAGGAAGAGCTTAGAATTGCAGAAACGTCTAGGAGCATGCTCACACGATGACTAGGACATGCTTGCTTCCCCTCTCTTTATAAAAATAAATATGCTAGGGACATGTCTTATAACTCCATAAGCACAGTATTGTTTTCTAGCCATGTTTACTTTTCATCTTATTCTTTCTTTTCCATCTTTTATGAATTGTGCTTCTGGTACTCAGTTTGCTTCATTGTCATGATCAGCACAAGTTTGTTTTCTGGTACACTCGCCGGACACCTGGGGTTCGAACTCAATCATCGTACGAGGATAATATAAAGAAAATTGTTGATTTTAGCACTGTAAGTCAACTTACTTCTGGTCATTTTGTTTATTTGTTAATTGGACTGCCTTATCACTGTATTTTATGTTCGTCATGCATAGGTTGAAGGTTTTTGGGTTTGCTACTGCCACTTGGCTCGTCCATCAACATTGCCAAGCCCAACTGATTTGCATCTTTTCAAGGAGGGTATTCGTCCATTATGGGAGGTAAGGTTTGGTGCTCATGCTAATTATTGCATTGCTTTGTTCTCAATTTCTCTAAAAGTCTTTAACTATGTATATCTCTTACCCAAGTTAATTTCCTGATTATATTTGTTTATGAAGGATGCTGCTAACTGCAATGGTGGAAAGTGGATAATTCGTTTTAAAAAAGCTGTCTCGGGACGTTTTTGGGAGGACCTGGTAAGCCAGCTGTCTCAGTGATTCTTGGTTCTGTCAAGTGTCAACTTACTTAAACTTTATGGCTATCTCGTTTAATGCTGAAACAATATCTTAACTGAATTTGTGGGTAGCCATGACAAAATTAAGTTCGTTATCTTAAGCAGTTGGAAATCTTTTTGATTGTTTAAAATAGAGGAAATTTCTAGTCCGTTTATGCAAAGATTGTTGAGATGCCCCTTCAGAAACAAGCTCATATAGATTTCCTGCCTTACATGAGCGTGAGAAGCTAACAAGAGAGGGAATGAGGGATAGCATAGTGAAAGGGACCCTTCATTTGCAACGGGGTTTTTGCTGGGTGGGTGTGTGGGGGGGGGGGGGGGGGGTAGGGGAGTATGAAAGGCCACTTCTGATCCGTGTGAGGGGTTAAAGGAGAAGGATCTACCATATCAAAAGAAGAAAAAAAAGGAGTGAGGAGCAGTGCACTAGAAGCTGAAGTGACATTTCTAACCAGCCTTTAGCATCATTATGGGGGTGGGGGGAGGGAGTATGAAAGGCCACTTCTGATCCATGTGAGGGTTAAAGGAGAAGGATGTACCATATCAAAAGAAGAAAAAAAAGGAACGAGGAGCAGTGCACTAGAAACTGAAGTGACATTTCTAACCAGCCTTTAACATCATTATCCTCTAATCTGTTTCCCTAAAGGGTGCTTTGTTTCAATGATGTTCCTCATTTTTTGTCAATAATAACATAGCTGGCTTTTTCATGCTGTTTTGGATTCAAAGTGTCTAACCAAAAAGTTGAGTCCGTTTGAAGATATTCTCATCTCTTAGTTTATACATTTGCTCCTTGTGAATTTACTTCTACCGATGTTGAAGGTAGGATTGAAGTTTTTGTGTTTGGATATTTAATGATCAACATTAATTTAGTCAATCAACTACTCCCCACTCCTGAATCAGTTTGGATTGGCACTAATTTGGTAAATTTCAGTTGACAAGTTGAACACTAATTTGTATAACTCTTTTAAGATGTTTCGTCACGCTATTCTCATAATCATATTTGTTTCGAAGCTTTCCGATAGAGGGAATTATTATACTTTCTAGATCATTATTCCCTTTTGGAGCATAAGAGGATGATATTAAGAGCGCATTCATCACTAGAGCAAATCTGAATGTTTTAACAAATTTTCCCTTCATCATCAAAAAAGTGAAATTGCTAAATTTGCATCAGCCAGATAAGGTCGATGTGACTTCAAATGCAAATTTTAGCAACTATAGATGGATGGAAAAGATAGCAAGATGCTATTTTTTTCAATTAATATTTTATGGTGTGGCCCCAGGCCAAGACTGTAGTGCAACACCTAGGCGACACTTCAAGGCCCGAGTGTGAGTAGTAAGCCACTCTTATGGCCTCCCTCCTAAAGAATCGACTTAATATCATGTGGATGGATTGCCCACGTATCAGTGATCGAGTCCTGTTATTTTGAATCATACTCATGACGTCAGGTTCACTGGTAAACCGGTAATGGTTGAATTTATTTGAACTTACAAAATTATCATGGATTTCTTGTATAGGTTCTGGCTTTGGTAGGTGATCAACTCGATTATGGTGACAACATATGCGGTGCAGTTTTAAGCATTCGTTTCAATGAGGACATATTGAGTGTGTGGAATCGTAATGCATCAGATCAGCAGGTAAAGCTATATCTAACCCTTGTTCCACACCCAATTAGTTCCTTATTAAGCCAAAAAGTAAACATGCTCACATCACCTTGGTTTTTTCTAGGCTGTGATGGCATTGAGAGATGCAATCAAACGACACCTAAAGCTTCCTAATGGCTATGTCATGGAATACAAAGCCCATGATGCTTCCTTGCGTGACAACTCATCATACCGCAATACTTGGATAAGAGGATAAAAGTTGCTAGTTTCTTATTTCGCTGTTAAACCTTCAACTTAGTTGTTTGGTTGGTATTTGGCCAAGTGATAGTCGTGACAAAAATGGTTAATCGTGTAATGCAATCCAACAACCATGGGGAAATCTCAGTTACTGAACTGACTCTTTAATATCTATCACTTCTTAAAAGTGTATGCACTTAACTCTACTGACAAATGAGTTATTCCCAGTTTTATGTTACCAGTTACCACAAGCATACAGTAGCAGTACATTGCTATTAGTACATTGCTATTAGTGCTTATGGTTGAATATTTCGTATATTACTTGTGCACGGGCTTGAAAATAAGCCTTTAGTTGCTCATGCATGGTCCTCCATATCGTGCGCTCGACAATTTCATTTCAGTTGTATCTGCTTGTGCCTTGATGTTAGCATGTCTGGGATTTAGCTTCATCTGTATCTCCCACCTCCGTTCGGCAATTTCTTGCCAACTTTTAAAGATGGTGTTAAAGCTGTTTACGGTAGAGATGAGCAGATAGGCAAATCCAAGACAGAAACATTGTTAAACTAGTTGTTGGCCAAGACCAACCCTTTCCACTATCACGCATTAAGTGTTCTCCAACAGTATACACCTCTACGAAGAGATGCCATGGAATTGGCAGAAACCTTCTTGTATGCATTGTGTAAGGCAGCATTCATACTATTACCATGTGGATCGCAGCTGTTTTTTTATGAGACGTCTTCCAAGGTATTGGATCAACTTCACTCCTGTGTGAGTTTGCTTACATTGCCGGTTCCAAACCTGGATAATGGAGAAAGGTTTTAGTAGGCTGCCGGCAAATATAATACTACTAGCTAATTCATGATAACATAGTCATTGAGGATTTATATAGTTGATTCTAACTTATTTGGGTTTGTTATCTCCCGAGGGACTGGATCCCAGCTATTCATCTCCCTCTAAATTACTCTTGTGCTAACCCATTTATGATTAAGTTGCTAATAATATATTGGCTAATGGTCCTAATCACTCCCCTTCCTTGAAAAGAAAGAACAACTCAAATAGAAAACGTGGTGAATTATGAGCCAGTTAGGATGGGCTTGTTGTAAGTGACTTTTAAGCCAAAAGTCATAAGTTAGGAATTTTTAGCTTTTGGCTTATTTTTGTCATTTTAGCTTAAAAATACCTTTTTACTTTATCTAAACACTACAAAATGGTTTAATCTAAACACTACAAAATGGTTTAAAAGCTATTTTGGCTTAAAAGAACTTAAAATAAGCCAATCCAAACGGGCTCTATACTTATTTTATCGGTAGGTGCATCTCTGCAAAAATTAGTAAAACGCAACCAGCTACACTTAACACTATGGTAAAATTAATCATACTTTTAGTGCATGGTTTCATTCTAGTTTCTGTTTAATTAACTTTTGGTGAGCTTCACTAAAGTTTAACGCCCGGCGGTCATCTCCCAGTGATTTCTAATATTAATGTGTCGGGAGAAAAGGTTTTTATAATTTATTGCAAAAGATGTATAAACAAATCAGAGTGGCGCAGCGGAAGCGTGGTGGGCCCATAACCCACAGGTCCCAGGATCGAAACCTGGCTCTGATATATTGTGTGAAAAGAGCAGCATCCCTTTCTCTTTCTTTTTCCCAAAAATACTGTCTTTCCTCGTCCTTTTATAATACTTTATTTATTTACTGTGTCTAATTCTCGTAAGCCAAATTTTAATCTCAGTTATTAGTGTTCATACGCCACGTAAGTTAGTCATTCTCGTCCTTGTAATTTGCAACATACATTCTGTTTTAATTCAAAAACGATTGCTTGCACCAATATCAAGAACTGCTCCTATTCTGCTCAATCTATATGTCTGCCAAAGTAATAAACGGAGAAGGGTACTCTCTCTCTCTCTCTCTCCCTCTCTCACAATTTCAGAGGGGAGAGAGTCCCAAAACGAAAATAAAATAAAATAAAATAGGAAGGCAAAAGATAATGGTAATTAGACTCTTTGAAACATTACCAATAATTTGAAAGGGGATGATCCCAAAGAGACTCATAAGGATCATGGACACTTTCCATGTAATCTTGAACACCATTTACTGCATAAATTGATGCTGATATCTGCCTTTCCTCTTTCATAATCTCATATTCTGTTAACCCCATCTCACCTGAAATCACATTCTTGGGAATATCCAATAATTCTTGTGCAAATTCAAAACCTTCTCCAAAACCCCATGAGAAAGAAGAATATGCTGATGCGCCCATGTCAATATCAGGTATGTATGTGTTATGAAACTGTTGACTTTCTTCTTTGATTTCATGATCCAAAGAAAGTTCTGTGTGTGTATTCTCACTAGAAATTGAATCATCACAATTGCTAATTATTAGACTAGAACTACTGCTGATGTTCAAACTACTTTGAACAGAGTTACTACTTGTGGAAACAACAGTATAATCCAGGCATTTCTGTTTTGCAATTTTCTTGCTCTTGAGAAGATTTCTAATTCTGGAAGCAAGAGGGGAATCTTGAGAAACACGAGTAACAAAGTTTGTTCGAGTGTTTGATCCGCGAAGAAGAACAGCAGCTTGATCGTAAGCATGAGCAGCTTCCTCAGCAGTTTCATAAGTTCCAAGCCACATCCTTATTTCCTTTGTTGTGTCTTTAATCTCAGCTACCCATTTTCCTGAATGCCTTTGCCTTACACCTACAAAGTTGTTACGGCTTTTGCTCCTTCTTTTCCCCTTGAATTTGGCTAGTTTGTTCTTTGAAATTTCTTCTGTTTGCTGCTGTTTTTGGAAGTTAATTTCCATTGTAACAAATATGAGCAACAACGAATTATGGAAGGAGAAGCGAGTAGCACGATTTTTTATGTTCTTAGTCTTAGTTGTAGTGGAGAAAGTTGTTTACATGTTTTTGTTTTTGTTGCTGTTATTGTGGGCTATATATAATATGTGAAGGTATGACATACCGATTAATTGAAAAGTTGTCCTCCTGTTTCATATTTCGTTATTTTTTTGTATTTTTTCTGTTTCCCATCTAATGTCGAGTACCTGCAGTATTCGCTGTTGGGCTCAGACTAATCGGGATTAATACCTGTCAATTTGATGAATTCAATCAATTATCAATTGGATCGAGAGATCGCGTGTGAGTCGAATACGGAGAGAAGAAGAAGCTGGAAATGAAACTTCACTGTTCCATTGAACAAAATAATATCCAACTGTACACGACTAACTGACTGACAATTATTATACTAATAACTAATATCTATCTGAACCATAGTTACTATTATGTACCCTAGTTAACCAACTATGATTAAATAACAGACTAACTACCTCTAACTACTGCCCTGTATCAGTACACTTCTCAACACACCCCACCCCCTTCAATCTAGGTCTAATGAAAATGTTCTTTAGGCCTAGTTTGGATATCAAATGATCATGTTGAAAACCACTCAACCCTTTGGTCAAGAGCTCAGCAAGTTGATCCACAGATGGAAAATACACAATCTCTACCAGCCCATGTTGCACCTTCTCATGAATAAAATGACAATATATATCAATATGTTTAGTCCTCTCATGAAAAACAGGATTTGCAGCAATTTGCATAGCTTATTTACTATCGCAATAGAGTGGAACTGGAAGAGTGAGAGAGACACCCAATTTATTGAACAAACCAACTAACCACACAATCTCTGTCACCGTTAAGGCTAAGCTCCTATACTCGGCTTCAGTTGAACTGCGAGAAATAATGTTTTGCTTCTTGGATTTTCAAGAGATGAGAGAATCACCAAGTGTAACCATATAGCCAGTTACAGACCTCCTGGTGTTTGGGCAAGAGGCCCAATCAGCATCACAGTATGCTTGCAACTTGGTAGAGCCCGTAGATGACATAAGAATCCATAGACCTGGATTCTTCTTCAAGTACCTAATCACTCTTAATGCAGCTTCCAAGTGTGAAGTCTTGGGAGCATGCATGAACTGGCTCAAACATTGCACTGCAAAAAAGATATTCGGCCTAGTAATTGTCAAGTGAAGCAACCTACCAATTAATCTCTGGTAGGCTCCAGGATCTGCAAGCAAAGAATCACTGTCAACACCAAATTGGTGATCAAATTCAGCTGTGCTCAGTTTTTGATTCACCTCAACAGGAGCCCCTACAGGTTTTGCCCCTGCCAAACCAACATCAGAGATAAGTTCAAGGGAATACTTCCTCTGATGTAACAAGATTCCTTCCATACTCCTTGCAAACCCAAGCTCCCCAAAATCTTTTATTTTGAAACTTTGATGAAGTATGTCTTTAGTGTAAGATATGAGTGCAGCATCATCTCCAGTGATGAGTAAGTCATCCACGTATACCAAAATGATAACTATTCTCCCATTGAGATGTTTGGTGAACAAAGAATAATCAAGGTGACTCTGTTTGAAACCCAATTGAAGAGGAGTAGTAGTCAACTTGATGTTCCACTAGCGCGAGGCCTGCTTAAGCCTATAAAGGGACTTGTGCAGTCGACGAACTTATGCTTTACCTGTTGAATGGGAGAAGTCTTGAGGAAAATGCATATATACTTCTTCCTCCAAATCACCTTGCAAGATGGTATTGTACACGTCCATTTGGTGCAAGACCCAACCTTTTGCAGTTGCAATAGAAATCATAGATCTAACAATGACCATTTTCACCACAGGTGAAAATGGTCACTGATAATCTAAGCCCTCCTTCTGACTATACCCCTTAGCCACCAATCGAGCCTTGAACCTTTCTATACTTCCAGAAATTGTATACTTGATCTTGTAGACCCATTTGCAACCAATTGTCTTCTTGTCAGGAGGCAATATCACAACTTCCCAGGTGTGATTGTCTTCTAAAGCATGAATCTCTACCTCATGGCCTCAACCCACTTTATATCCTTAGCTGCTTCATGATAAGATGTAGGTTTAGTTTCTGAAGATACTGTGGAAACATAAGTTTGGTATTTGGCTGATAGACCACCATAATGCTGTCATGACCCAAATCCTAACCTGTTGTGATGGCACCTAACATGGTATTAGGAAAGCCGACATTTACGGAAAAAAAACTCCAACAATTTGAACAAAATGGGTTTAAAACAGTTTATATAATAAAACTTTCCATAAACAGGGTAGAAATCCAAAACATAACGCGGAAATTCCCAGATCGGGGTGTCACAGAGTACATGAGTATCTAAATATCACAAGTCTGGAATACACTGACTATGATAGTCCGAAACTAAATACAATAAAGGAATGATAGGGAAGGAGAAAACAAAGTCTGTGAAGCGCCGGGTGACTACCTTGGAGTCTCCCAAGAGATCAACTGTACGATGAAATCATCACCCAGCATGTCCGAAAACACCTGGATCTACACACGGAGTACAGGGTGTAGCGTGAGTACAACCAACTCAGTAAGTAACAAGACTAAATAAAGAACTGAAAGTAGTGACGAGCTATACAATTATAGTTCAATTTCAGTAATTTCAACATTGGAAAGTAGGCATGCTTTCAAGTTTAACAATTTAGGACAAATCAATTATCTCATGTCAAGTTCAAGTAAAACATAATATAACATCTTTCAGAAAACTTCCAGGCCGTGATATATGGAAGCTAAGTGCAACAAAAATAAAATCAAGGGCATCCTCTCAGAGCAACAATCACTAAATCTTTCTCAATAGTTCAACACTCGGCACTCAAAACTCATACTCAAAAGGTACCTGTGCTTACTGGGGGTGTGTACAGACTCCAGAGGGGATCCTTCAGCCCAAGCGCTATACCGATGCGGCGTGCAGCCCAATCCCACACACACACACACATACACACACACACACACACACACACACACACATATATATATATATATATATATATATATATATATATATATATGTATATATATAGCCATAAGGCTCGTTGCAACGTGCAACCCGACCCACACATATGCAGCCCTAAGGCTCGTTGGGATGTGTAACCTGATCCACACATATACAACCCTAAGGCTCATTGCAGCGTGCAACCTGATCCACACATGTACATATATCGCTCACAGCTTGGCACTCAGGACCTAACTCAGTCACCAACCTTTCCAGTCTCTCGGGCTCTTAGAAATCATGAAAATCAGCTCAAACAGAAATGATGTAATGTATCAACAAGTAACAAGAAGAGACTGAGATATGATACGCAAGAAAAATTGTGACTGAGTACAAGACAGCAATTAGCAAATAATTCAACAAGTACACGACCTTTGTGGGTCCCTACACTGCCAACACATAGTCTAAACATGATTTCTAACATGATTTGCAGTCAAATTTTTATAACACATGAAGAGCATATAGCTAACAACATATTATTCAACTTCATAGTTTCACGGAATGGACCAAGTCACAATTCCTACGATGCACGCCCACACGCCCGTCACCTAGCATGTGTGTTACCTCCAAACAAATCACAAAACCCATAATACGAGATTTCATACCCTCAAACCAGATTTAGAACTGTTACTTACCTCAATCCGAGCAAACTCTACTCCAACACACCTTTGGCTCACAAATCGGCCTCCGAATCTCGAATCTAGCCACAAATAATTCGATACAATCAACACGAGCTAAAGGAATCAATTCCATAAGAAAATATAAACTTTAAGTCAAAAGTCAAAAAGTCAACTCAAAAGTCGGCCCCCAGGCCCATGTCTCGGAATCAGGTAAAAGTCATAAAATCTGAACACCTCCTGATCCTCTTGGATGTTCCAAACCACCATCTTGGACTTCCAGCATTTGCTTCAGACAGAAATTTTGGGACTCAAAGTGTGCCCTCATGAGGCAGGGAAAAACTTCAAAACGTGTCTTTTACTTTTTGATGTGGTCGGTTCTTTCTTTTGAAAAGACTACCAAATCGTCCATGTAAGGATCGCATATGTTATGTAGGAGGTCACTGATAATTTGTGTCATCTAGGGTACGCGTACTTGATTAGTAGGTACATAATTATTGATACTATTTCCTTGCAGTTTAGACAAATTAATGAATCCTCTATCAGAATCGCTTTACCACCATGGAGCGGCTTTTTGCAAAAAGATGAGGGGGAAACTCAGTAAGATGTCGGAGAAGCGAAAAGTTGCAGCAAGATGATCAGTTCGAGAGTGCTGGAGAGAAGAGAAAGCGGTAAAAACCTCTCTTATTCGGTCACCGAGAAGTCGGACAACTCTTCCTAGGTTGTATTCGATCACGAATGACCAAAGAATCGATTAGTAGTATGCATGTGCCAGAAGACCTTCTCGCAGATGATTTCTAGTTAGTGTGCCGAGAGTGGATTCTCGATGAATAAGCTGAAATTGCTCTTGTTGATACAATTTCATTTTTTAGGCAGTTTCGTATTCTACACGTCTTACCTGATGATTAGGATTTGACCCCCGAACTCGATCCCGGTTGAATTTTATAGACTTTCTACTCAGACTTCGAAGCTCTAAAGTGTCTGTTTTAGCTTCAGAAATACTCCTTAACTTGGAATCACGACCTACACAACCAAATCATATAATAAGTTTAATTACTTGCCATTAAGCTCAACCATAATTAAAATATAACATATAATATGTAAAATGTGGCAAAAGACTCGATTTCTAGCCTACCATCAAACGGCCAGGTAACTACCACCTTTATATGTGACCGTTGGATCTATAAAGTACCCTACTATATAGGATTAGGGTTCAACATTACTCAAATCCGATATCAAAATCCCATTCAAAACCTCAAAAATCTAGCCTAAGAACTCTTCTTCATTTACCCCAATTTTCCACCCAAATCACAAATTTAATGATAGAATCAAAGGCATAATCATGGGAATTAACCAAAACTAGATAGGAATTACTAACCCCAAACACCCACGTGAAAATCTCTCCAAATATCACCTTCTACCGAGCTCCAAAATCAATTTTGTGTTATGAACTCAAAACCCTCGTTTCTGAAACT